TTATCAAGCTAATTATCACATCCCACGATTTAAGAAACCTCTTTGAAAGCAGTTGAACAACGAAAAGTAATGGCAGCAATTAGAGATGGCAGTTCTACGACAAATTAGGCACCATGAAGAAAATGGGTAGCAGTTTCCAAGCATTTTGTCACACAGAAGTCATCATGGGAATATAAAAGGAAAGAATAGACATAGAGGAAAAGACCCCGAATCAAACACTCTCGAACAGAGAATATGTAATTTTAATTTCTTAGATTAACTTTAATTAGCCTTATTTCAGTACTTGTGTGCTTGCGCCCCTTAAATACATTCTGTTTAGTTCCAATTGTAACTCTCATCAATAAAACACCCTTTTTTGGGACTTTGTCTCAAGAGATTTGTCCCTTACACAATCGTCTGAATTTCTTTTTAATTGTTAGCGACTACCCGCGCGAAACAAACTAATTACTCAAATGGCAAGTTGCGAGAAAACGCAGCTGTGAGTCTTGTTAATGGCTGTAATAATATATCAATTAACACATTTTTTACAGTTCCACCCATCGCCGCCGCTTTTAAAGTTTCGGTAGGTGAAGGCGACACTAAACTTATTGCACACTGACTCTTCCTTTTCTGTACATGCATATATAAATACATATACCAAAACCACTTCTTTTGTAATATCTAAACTGGGAAATCAAGAACCGCCGGCAGTACTTTCTTGAGTTGATAAAATGTCGAACCAAACATCCCGAAAAGATGACGTGGAAGCAGGAACCAACCTATTGTACCCATTAATGCAGGAAAGCCCGGAGCTCCGTTGGGCTTTTATTCGAAAAGTTTATTTGATAATTATTGTTCAATTGCTTGTCATCATTGTTGTTGCTTCTGTTGTAGTAATTGTTCATCCCATTGCTGCCTTCTTTTCCACCACTCGAATTGGCCTGGCAATATACATTGTCATCGTTTTAATTCCTCTTATTGGTATGTTAATAAAAAAATATGAAAAGGTAATATTGTTTGGGATTAATACTGAGTTTTGTATATGATTTAAAATTTCTTTTTGGTTGCAGTTTTGTGTCCCCTGTATTTTTATCTGCAGAAGCATCCACTCAACTTCTTTCTGCTCGGGATCTTCACGGTGGCTTTTGGTTTTGCATTGGGCGTTGTTTGTGCTTACTACAGTGGTAAAGACTAGAATTCACAAAATTTATTAGAATTTATGAAAGTTACTAGTTCAACTCTAAAATCAACTACTAGGCGAATAAAGCATAATTAAATTTATCATTTAAAAGCAACATGTCACTTTTTAATTATTCTAGATGTTTAGTCAATCAAGTCAGGTTATCATAAGTTGAATTGTCGCAATAAATAATTAAAGCACTAAAAATACAATATTTGATGACGGAGAATACCCTCAGCTGGGTAAAAATTATTGGATCAAGCCAGTAGTTTCCATTATAAACAATAAGAATTTACAGTATAATCCAGCCTAGAAAACTCACTAGACTCGCTGATCTAATTCCTGCAATCTCCAAGATTCGCTAGAACGTGTTTCTCTCACACCTGCTCCCGATCTTCTAAAATTGTCTATCTCCTATGGAACACCAAGAACACCTCATTCTTGTACTCTTTTTGTGCTTCTGATCCAACCTCCCTCATTGTTCAGTAACCTCTGAAAGCTATTGAAAAAATACTTTCCTGATGATATCTAGGAAGTGTGTGTTTTGAATTATATGATTTTGATATTTTTTCCAAACTTTTGGTTGATTGATCTCAAGAATCAAAATGTTAATCTAAATATTTAGATGTATTCTTGGATCTTGAAATAATGATATAAAAATGTAAAACAATGATCAACCACCACAAAAAAACGTACTAGGCATTGACTATTTATAATAGGTGGAGTTTAGGTAGTATATGATAGATGAAACTCTTGAAAAACGCAAACTAGGGTTTCTCGAAAAACACCCTCACTTGAGCGCCAGGCGAGCGAGAGGTGAGTCGCTCGAGCGAGAGTCGGGTGACAATTATTTTACTTTGGACACTCGAGCATCAACTAGGTGACAGTCTAGCGTAAATCCAACGACTCTTTCTTCTTGTTCCATACTCGAACCCAAAGACTCCTAATTCATCTATACGACACTCCAAAGACTCATTGACTTTTACAACTCTTTTGTAACAATCCTATTCTTTTACAATAATCATTTTGTCTAAAAAATTGCCAATACAACTAAAAACCTAACAATTTATAATCTTTTAAAATTTAATAAATTCCAATTGAAGACAACCTAGAGATTAATATATAGATTCATGCGAGAATCACACAAAAGTGGCCTCTAAAAAACCTTTGTTCGGAATATTATGTCAATTTCAAGTCGAGTGATAAGTGCGCAGGGTGATTATGCTTCACAACTTCTATTTTGATGCTATTTTTTCATTTTGAATGAAAAGGGACATAGTAGATTATTTGTTCTTGTAGAATTGCTCACAATTTGCTTGCAAAAACAGGCATTCTGTGCCTACAAAAACACTTATCCACCATTCGTTTATAACTATTTATGATTTAAACCGTCTATAAATACTTCTCAAACATGCTAAATGCTCCTTAATTTGCATGAAATTACTTTATGTTGGACTTTGTAAGTTCGTGTTTGGGTAGTATCTTAGACCCTTTCTCTCTTTAATATAGTTTCACCTTATTTCAAAACAGAGTTAACTTCTGAAAAAGCTCAAACATCCTAATACTCGACTGACTTTTTGGATTGAATNAACTTCTGAAAAAGCTCAAACATCCTCATACTCGACTGACTTTTTGGATTGAATTGGAAACAGGGAAAGTTATTCTAGAGACAATTATCCTAACAGTAGTGCTGGTTATTAGTCTTACTATATACACATTCTGGGCAGCAAAGAGAGGTGAAGATTTCATATTTCTACGAGCATTCATATTCGGTTACATGACCATGGGGCTTATCCTGAGTGTATAACAACTTAATATTACGATATTCATAGATCTTCTTCCCTCTTGGTAGCATCTCCACGACAATCTATGGGATTCTCGTTTCAATCGGATTCTGTGCAAACATAATTTACGACACCAATAATCTGATCAAGNTGTTATTAAAGCTAGAAATTAGGTGTTTTTTTTTTCTTTCAATTTTACTATTCCACTTCAATCCGAATGTATAATTTAAATATTTTCTATAAATTGAGGCAATAAGATTGCTCATTTGTTAATGATTGCTGTCAGACTCAAATTGTAATTGTGGAATTTCATCGATTTGAAGTTTGCGACTTTGACAATAGGTGTCCTTCAATATCTTGTTGGACTACCTAATTCTATTGTACACATCTTCTCGATCATAGATTGAGATTAGTCCTTTCTTCTTTGTCGTGAAAATCTATGCTCATTCTAAGTACTATATGTAGCACCTAAAAGAATATGTTATGGTTGGAAAGATTATCAAAATCGCGTTAAGTGAAAGAAACAAAATTTTCTTGGATATATCAGCCGCTTCAGCGCCGGCGTGCGGCAGCTCCACCACTCGAGAACCAGAGTTCTGCTGAGTATTTAACGATGCCGCTCTAGCACCAGAGGCTAGCGGCCAGCTAGCAAAATTGTGGCGACTTTTTCTCTCCACTCCATAATTTGACATCTTCAAGACCACTAAAACCAAAACTCCAATAATGGCCTATACGAGATCCTAAGCTCTACCAACACAGTGGAAAAAAGTTCTACAATAAAATAATTTCATGAATTTTTTCAAATTGAAAATTATAGTTCGATTAAGTGCTCGTTCATCGTGAAACTTCAACTTTAACCAGACATCTCATGGACTACAAAACTTTTATCAACTCTTTAACCATATATTTTATGAATTTTTATCAAAATCTGCTAAAACTTTTATCAAAAGATTTGTCAAACAACCCATAAATTTAAATTGACAGTCTCTATTTTTGGCGGCCTTCAAATAATTAGGATCCTTACATTGTTAGACCAAACGACCAAACAATTGAGATTTAACATACAAATTCGGTCTTTTGTTAAACGACCCCAATAGTCCAAAGACTTCTAGAATTTCCTTGGGACTATACATACCATTCTAATCTTTTTCTTCTTTTTCACTCTGCCTTCACAGAAAATTGTTGCAAAAATTATATTTCTACACATTCTGCAATCAAGAAACACTCAATTCAGTCTTATTGACCTACTTAAGTGCAAGATGCAGCCATATGAATCAAAACCATTTTGGGCGTAGTTCTATTTCGAGAAACAGATCCTCTACAATCTTTTTGGAAATTAGAATCAAAATCAGTGGGGCGAATCATGCAAAATGTAGACATATAAACCAAAACGTTACCAGGGTAATCTTCAAGAAGCGTGGTACTTTCTTCCCCGTGCAGTCGAGAGTTGTCACTCATTTTTGCTGTAAAAAAATGTTAAGAAACTTTACTGGAGTAACTTGTTTATATAGAAATCAAATTTGAGATATTCAAAAGTATCAAGGCTCCTCAGGAACTTCCAGCAATTCTAAGGCGCCAGTAATAACTCGAGTTATTTGATAAAAAGCACCAGTACTTTTGCTGTATTTACCTTTCAAACTACTAACGTGATAAAAAGCTTTCAATGTTGAGTTGTGTGCGTGCGTGTTTGAGAGAGAGAGAGAGTTTTTATGAATTTTTCAACGATTCAGTTATCAAATGATCTTGGTAAAGAAGTTACAAAGATTAAGTCTCTTTAAGGGCTCAGATAGATTTAACAAATCACAGTTAAGAAAAAGTATATGTTTGAGGCTCAGAAAGACATAAAAGCCCACAAGGAACTTGAGATTTAAATCACCTGTCTGCAAAGTCGGTGAGAGAACTATCACAGAATCTGGGCATCCATTGCCACTGACAGCCTGTGAGTGGCATGGCGAAGGTTGCACTGTTACAGTGCTATCAAATTGAAGTTCCTGAGGACATTGGAGTGGGCATGCAGCAATATGCATAATTGCATGTACCTGAAAAACATGTTAAAGACTGAAACATTGAAATTGCTTCAATATATTTGTAATTCAAAGAAGCTCCAATACCTTATCGGCTGGCACATCATCATACACATTCACTTTGCCACAATAAAATATTGTCATTTGTCCTCCTGGAATATTTGTTGAACCCACGGTTCTGATACCATTAAGAAAAAACATCAACTTATGAAAAAGGAAAAGAGCCATTTAGAATAAACATCAGTCTCATGTATGTCACAAACTGTATGCATGGCAACTTAAAATAACACTTCTTATACAGGCTCTGTTACGAACTCATAAAAGCTGTAGATACATAAATTAAGGTCAAGCCAAAATTAACTCAACTCAAATAATCTACTTAATCGCATCACCTATAAAATCTCTCAATCTTGATATAAATCTAATTTCTTCAATGACAACAGGATATAACTTGCACGAGTAAATGAATCAATAATGATAATTACTTCTCTGCTGTATGCTGCTGATGTTTTCACTTTATAGTGATCAACTATAAAGTCTAAAAAAATTAAATTTGCACTTTCAAGAGATCTTCCTTATTGCCTAGATATTAAGTATAATACAATTTTCTAAGAAGCATTAGTTACAGTGTTCTGAGCTTTGTTACATCACATGCAATCTCCAGATATTTTTAAGAAAGTACATTCAATAGGGAATATATTGTCTCGTGCAGAAATGATTTTTTGAAATGGGCAAAAATACAAATACTCCAAGTGATCACTTGATAAAAGCATTCTTCAATGAATTAGACTCACTTGTTAATCCCCTCCATATGATATAAGCCCCTGTTAGGTTCCCATTTTCTAGAACTCATTTATCCTCAAAACTCATTTTCAACCACATTTTTCATCAAAATTTTCTAAAAAACTGATTTTTATCTAAAGCAAACAGGGGCTAAATGTTACTGCTACACCTACTCACCGCCCTTTCACACCTAGCAACCCCAGCACCACAAACCCCCTATTTATGGTGTTATCATCATCCCCACCATCAGTCTCCTCAGTGGCGGACCCAGGATTTCTAGTCAGCACGGGCGACCGTGGATCGTCGACCGTTGTCAACAATAAAATAT